AGGGATGTCCGACGTCCCGTTTAGGCCTGATCCCTAGTAATAGGATCTGGCCTAAAAAGGCAGTCGGACATTCCTTGAGGGGTCCCAGATTGGAGAGGGTGAAGGCTGGGCTGAGGGACACCCCCCCGACCCCCCCCCCCCGGTGCATGAATTTCGTGCACCGGGTCCCTGGTCCTATATAATAAAAGCCCAGGTGGCGTCACGCGCGACATTGCCACAAGATGGCCGCCCTCACGTCATTACAAGATGGCCACCACAAGATAGCCAGCAGGGGAGGGCAGCTGTGGGCAATAGGCCAGCAGGAGAGGGCAGCTGGGGGGAGACCAGGCCTGAAGAGGAGGGCAGTTGGGGGCAACCAGGCCGGCAGAGGAGGGCAGCTGGGGCAACCAGGCTGGCAGGGGAGCAGTTAGGGGTGATCAGGCTGGCAGGCAGAGAGGTTAGGGGCAATCAGGCAGGCAGGCAGGTAAGTGGTTAGAAACCAGCAGTCCCAGTTTGTGAGAGGGATGTTCCAGATTGGAGAGAGTGCAGGACAGGCTGAGAAACAACCCCCCCAATGCATGAAACTGGTGCACCGGGCCTCTAGTACAATGATAAGCAACATCACTGAGCTTCCAACATGGAGTGAGACTGCTCACAGCAAAGCCTCCCAGCAAGGACACTACAGCTGCCTTGAGGAAAAACAGGACTGGGACTCTCATCCAGAGGGTCTCTGCTCAGACATAAACCAGGTCAGCACTCAAGGTCACCAAGGGGAGCCAGGGACACTCTCCCGCCAAGGTCCTTGCACATGACTCCCATCCTTGTACCAACTGCCTTTCAGCATGGCCACCTCTGGTTTATTTCAAGAGGTTCTCGATCTTTACACATTATTTTCTGTAACATGACCCCCTAAGTAAGCTCCAGGGTTTCTTAAAACCAGCATCTACCATTCACACTCACTCCTGCTGCCCTCGAGAGAAAGCATGAGAAGCTGCAGAACGTCCCTACTTCTCTGGAAGCAGGAACCTGACCACCTGCAGCGTCTGGGCTCTGCAGGGACTTCT